TTAAGGTCCTTGCTTTGATAAGGGAATTGAGTTTTGGTCACAAATCAAATTTTTTAACCCTTATATGTTTGCAACCTAATTGTGTAAAGATTTGATATTTTAAACTTAGACTTTTTTATCTAACACAATTCGTATTGTTTGAAATATCGAAGGTTTACAACATTGGGTATTAAAAAGTAAGAGTTTGTGTCAAAGCCAAAAATAATATATTTTAAATTTTAAATAATGTAAAAATTTCGAGGCGACTGGAGCCAGGAACTTTTGAATCAACGGAATTTATTATTGGTCATTCTTTTCTAACTCTCATACGTTTTAATTTAATAATAATAAAAATTTAAACAAAGGCATGCAAAGAAAGGAATTGAGTTTTTGTAACAATCTCTGATTTTTTAGTCCCGATATATTTGCAACCTGATGTTGTTTGTCTTTGATGTTTCAATTTATAAATTCTCATGTTAGACAAATAATCTTAGTTTGAAATATTAAAGGTTTTCATCATCAGATTGTAAAGAAATAGTAACGAGGAAATTTGAGTTTGTGGCAAAACTCAAAGCCTTTGCACAATATAAACAAAATGTATTTGATCTGTTTACTTTTAAGATAGGCATTCCAAAGAACCATATAATATTGACATTTAATGACCGGAAATGGGTCTAAGTGAAGATTTATTATGGTAAATAAAAATATGAAAAAAGAGTTAGTTGAAAACTCCAGATTTTTTGACCTTTTTTCTGAAAGCTGGAAAGTTCTACGAATTGAAACGAGTTTCTATACGTTGGATTTCTATAAGGTTTGACTTCTAAAACGGAGTCAAACCTTATAGAAATCCAACGTTATAGAAACCGCTACGTATAGCAACAAGGCGTATTTTCCGGGAGAACATTTTAAAATTTTTGAGAAATTAAATAAATTTTATGAAATCATATTAGCATTACTTGAGAACTTTTTTCTGTACTTTTAAGAATTTTTTTTCTAAAAATAAAACTGTAGATAGCATTTTTATAAAATATCTTTTTTAATACGCAATTTTATGTATAACCATATAATTATTCATTTATGTTGTCAGTACATAATAAAATCTGGGGGACCTTAAACATTAAACGTCATACGAAAAATAAATATATACAGTAAAAAAAATGGCAAGTTCAGTTTTAATTGTAAAATATTTAAAAAACACCACTTTTCATTTCTACCTATAGGAATTCATTTCTACCTATAGGCATTCATTTCTACCAATAGGCATTCATTTCTACCTATTGGGCTGGGTATTAATGTTAAAAAAGCTAATCGTTACAAACTTTTCAAGACGCCGTTGGTTCTTGGCTAATAACCGAACTATTTCTTGTTTTTTCTTAAAGTTACCGTTCGTTAACGATCTCAATTTTATTAACAGCACTAAAGATTTCGAAACATCAAACAGATTAACATCAAAACATGTAAAAAAACACCAATTTTTTTCAGTAAGTTTCCTGCAATTTTATGCATTGAAATTAGCTAAAGTTGTTGTTATTTTAAAACGCATCCATTCGTTCTTTTTATTTTCCGCTCTTTTCATGAGCGGTTGTTTGCGTTCGTTAATAATTTCAAAATGCACGTTTTTTGCTGTTCATTAACAGAACCTTTCGTTGATTTTTAAAATGAGCTGTTTGTTTACCAAATTGTGTCCCACCATATTACTCGGACTCTGTCGTTTTGACGTTTATCGAATACGAACTAACAAGAGACTAGTCAAATATAGAGAATAAAAATGCATACTGAATCTACAATTTATGAGGCATACTGTGTACACTATGTTACCATGTGGCTTCCCTTCCCAGATTTACACTCAGGTACGGGGTGCGCCGTTTTAGGAGAAGAGCATTTAATGAATAAAGCATGAGGAAAGAGCCCCAATTTTATTAAATGAGTTACCTTTGCCATTTGTTAACGACTTGTTAACATTAAGGAAATATCCTGCAAGGTAATCATTCAATAACCATAAATTGCAATACAAGCGAGCAACTTAAAATTTCCGTTTCTCAAGAATTTTATCTTTAAAATCCAAATGTTATTTTGAAACTTTATAGGGTAAGTCAAAAAAAAGTGTGATTAGCGTCGTCTGGTACAAGATTGTACTTTTTTTTGTGGAACTCTCCTGTATGGTATTTTATCAATTTATTTTTGGTACTTTTTTTGAAACTTTTTTCTCTCAAAATCAAAAATCAGAAAAGCAAAAAGTGTATAAATATTTTATCTATTAAATTCAAGAATTTTATAAATTTGAAATCACAGAATCACAGAAAATTCGCAAAATTGCAATAAGATAAGTCACAATTTTCAGTTCTAGTTGATTTTCAAGTAACTATGTTGTTTTTCAATGGCTCCTCAGTTTTCAACTGAACAGCGTAACTTTAGAATATACTAAGAAGAAAGGAACTAGAGAATTTAAAGAATTTTTCTTGAAATCTAAACTTTTGAATTTCAGAGAAAAAAGTTTTGTGGATTTTTTTGGGCCATTGGAGTACCAAAAAAATTCCAAAAAATATTGAAAAATATTCTAAACATTCCATTTTTTAACTTGGCCAAATTTTGACCCTGAGAGAACATATATGCCAAATAACGAACCAAAAATGGAATAGGAAGACGACCTTTAAACTCCAGTTGTGACTTTAAATAGTCCAATGAGCATGAGACACAGCAATTAAGCAGTGTGAACAGAACCACTTCAATTGATAAGTGATTTTATAACTTACTACTAAAGCTACAGTTTTCTGGTTATCACTGTAGAAATATTGCAAAGTTTAATCAAAGCAAACTATAACAATATACACTACAGTCTTAAAATGTTGGAAGTAAAAGAAAAAAAAAATAACCAAGCTAGGGTTTCCAACGAAATTTTCGTTGAATGAAATTCACGAAAATAATTAAACGAAACTGAACATCCTTTCGCACTTACATGTGCAAAAGGGTACGAATTTCGTTCAAAATTTTTGCAAATTTTAATGTATTTTCACATCTAAAAAGGTATCCTGTATTGAACCTTGAATATACAGAGTGAGATGAGACTTTAATAAAAACCTGAAAATCTTTAACTATGAAGATCTGAAGGTTGAAGTTAGCTTTCTGTCTTAAATATAGTTCGTGAATGATATATTCAATGATTTTGCAAAGAAAACAATAAGTTTAAAGCTGCAGATTCAATTAATAAAAGAAGACCCAAAACATTTCTCGTCCTTTGTGGATAACACTGTACTATAATATGACTGGTTAATGATTCTTGTTAAAAACATTGAGATATAGTGTGATATAGCCATTAGTCCAACTTTTCAAGGCCTACTCATAGAAAAAAATAGAACTCTAACTTTCGTGGTGAGGGTGCAAGGGAGGATTTTAAAAAAGTTCAAAAAGTACATAGGAAAAATGTTGAAAAATTATTATTCTTAATTTTGGCAAATATTTACATGTGCCACAATATATCAAATTCATTTTTCAAGGGCTTTTGATATACATTGTAGCCCTGTAGTTTCATTAATAAAAAAGTTTTTAAGCATTTCTGATTTTTTAAAACACCGACCTTCTTTTTGATTACCCTACCCTATGCATACATTTTTTTTTCTTCGCGTCTATGATGTTGAAAAAGTGAAAGCCGTTTACGTTATTTATAAAACCAGTCGTGATTGGGTTAATATTCAGACTAATTATCTAGGTTGTTAATATGTGTAAATACTGTTCATCTATTACAGGGTGTTCAACTGAACATGACAAATTAAAAATTACGAATTGGTAAATAATTTTTGGAGAGTTATTCTATTTAAAAATTTCTGTAACTACTGCTATGTGTAAGGAATGTTAAAATTAGCAAATTTAGTTTTCAACTTTGACATCAATAAAACAGATTTGAGCAAAAAGTTTTCAAGAAAATTCATTATGATTATCAAAAATGTTAGTGAAATAATATTAAAATTATACAAAAATGGGTTGATTGAAAGTTTTGGGGGAAAAATACGATTTTAAACGAAATTTTTGTTTTTCTTCATATTTTCGCTGGCTTACCGAAATTTTCGCGAAAGAGATTGGACGAAAATTTGGAGACCCTAAACCAAACACTATACAATTATAACTATGGGTTCACTTATAAAGTTAAAAGCAATCTTTAAAAAAAAGCCAAAAAGAACCGTCTTGAAAACCTGATTTCAGATACGTAGCTACAACGATGGGACATAGCTTTTGCTACGTTTTTGAGGTGTTTGTACTGTTTAAAGGCTCGTCTAAAATACTATATAAATTTCCAACATTTTAAAACTGTATTCTGTAAAAGTTTGATTTTGAAATTTGTAGAACTTCTCAGATTTTCCTGAAACCTATCAAAAGTTGAAAAACCTAAAACGTTGTTGAAAAACGAACCAAGCTATGTCCCATCTCTATAGGTGGCTGAAAAGTAGGGTTTCCAATGCGGAATTGCACAATAAGAGCGCAAAACTTGATATGTATAGCTGGCTAATTTATCTAAGCAAATTCAAAATTCTATTTAACAAAATTTGATCAAACTTTCCTTAAATTGAATAAAACGTTATTGCACATGGAAACCCGCTTACAAGTCTTACAAGTGAGAAAAAAATTCAAGAAAATTAAACAGCGTTAGGAACCAAAACCCATTCTTTTTCAACCTTTTCAAGTTATATTATACCAATCCAAACCTCTTAGCTTTAATGTGATTGCATTTTTGTTCTGTTTTTATAATAGCTTTATTACGTTAAATTTTATTTATCATTTTTAATACATGTTAGTTTTAGTTTCATTTTCATATTTCTTGTTGTAGTGTTTAACAGATAATTTTTAAAGGGAGTGAAAGCATACTTTCAAGTGATCCTTCATGGAAAGATGGCAATTCTAGATTCCCAAAATTACCCTTAAATCTATTAAATAATTTCGGAGACATTTTTGTTTTCTCAGCTTGAAAGATAAGATCTATTTGTTTTCCTGCAGTAGAAATGTGTGATACCTAAGTAGAGAAACCACGGTTGAAATTAATCAGTTTATAAAATTTATAAACCTTGAAACATTTTAAAACTGTATAGTCAAAGCTGCAAAGGTGATCAATGTTTTGCTCTACAATAATACATTTTAAAAATATTTGGTTATCAACTTGAAAATAACTTATTATCAAATCGACATAAGTCGTTGGAGCATACGTTGTGATTATTTTCCCCATTGATTACTGCAAGCATTGTATGACCATGGATTGTTGGGGTACTGTTGTGAGCTATGGTAGTCTCCACAGGATCCACCCCACCCTGTAGTGTAGCACCAGGTCCTCCCAGTAGTTTTATCCGAGCTTCTACAGTTTCCTTCACGTCCATTGTTAATCGTCAATTGGGTGCACTTACATCCTTGGCCACCACTGCTGTATCCTCCGTTATTGTAGCTAGAGCCTCCATTGCTGTAGCCACCGTTGTTGTAACTAGAGCCTCCATTGCTGTAGCCACCATTGCTGTAGCCACCATTGCTGTAGCCACCATTGCTGTAGCCACCATTACTGAAGCCACCGTTGTTGTAACCACCACTGCCGCATTGGTTGTTATTCCCTCCGAGGAAGAATCTAGTATTTGTTTTATCCCCCCCTGCACGATCACCAGAGGCCTGTCGCTTTCTTCGCCCACAAGGATTGTTACAGTTATTGTTAGGAAGAAAGAATTTAGTGTTAGTACTTGATTGTCTTCTCTTCCTCCTTCCACAATTATTAGGCCCACCTAACCCACCTGTCAGAATTCCAGGATTAATTGCTCCTGTGAGTAACCCTGCCCCTCCTAGTAGTCCAGCTCCCAGAATACCTCCATTAACAAAACTGTCTGTTTGTGTGTTTCCCGTAGAAAGTCCCGGGATTACGCCTAGGAATCTTGTATCAGTCTTTGTGTTATCTGAGGAAGATTGTGCTGTAACTCCAGCTACGCATACTGCTAACCCTGTGAGCACTGTAGCAAACCTCATAATCTAGAATATAATATATGAATGATAAACGAGTATACAAAGCAAATTGCTCTTTGTTGCCCTCCGGTTTCCTCTCATCTTGAAGGTCTTCGTAAACGATCGTTAACGAAGGGTCGTCGTTATCGATTGTTAATGAAGGGTCGTCCTTAATGATTGTTAACAAAGGTCGTCGTTGACGATCGTTAACGAAACGACGAATTTAATAAAAAACGATTGTTTTAAAATGATTTTTTTAAACAATTGTTTTTGAAAACGATCATTTTGCCAACATTTTTTCTAACATTTTTCGCGAAAATATTTTTGCGAAATGCAAAAAATTTGCGTAATGTCTGATGTTTCCTAGTCGTTCTTAAATCTAATTTATATTTTGTGGAATTGGGCTCGTGGATAAATCCCTCTTTGAAAATGAGTCTTGTATTCTGAAAATGTAGTCTTTTTGATGAATTTTCACAACTTTTTCTCTAAAATTTTGCATTTGTTTTAATGCGTAATGTCGCATTTTTTCTTTTCGCTGGAAACCTTGGCAGTACCCGACAATACCCCAAAGTACCCAGCGGTACCCAGCAGTACCCTGCAGATATGGGGAATGGGGATTACAAATTGGCGTGGTTGCCATCCCTCCCTCTATTAAGTGATCAGCTGATTAGTATTAAACCAGCCTTTTCATGCATGAAATAAGTGCAGAACTATAAAGTAATTATACTTGGAAGTGGTTCTAACCCTGCTAATATATTTTTATCAAAAGTAAAAATTCTGTTTGGTTTGGCCACTTTTAAAACAGAATATTTCCTACTTTCTGAAAGGTTTTACATAAAGCAAAAATTATCAATAACTATATTTGATCTAAACTCTTAACTAAGTGAATTTAGAAAAAACATGTCATTTTAAGAAAGTTTTATATAAATAAATGCAATCACTCAGAACAAAAAGTTTAATCAAAAATTAAACTTTTTTAGGTTTATGAGACGTTTTAAAAAAATGCAAAATAAATATTCCTGACACCCATAGGCTTACGTCAATAAAATTCCCCAAAACCATACTGCAGTCCTTCAATCATCATACAGGGAAACTTTCATCTTTCTAAACATTCCAGGGAAAGTTTTTGCAGGTTCTTTGCAAATTTATTTTGCGAAAACATGATTTTATTTTACTTAATTGTCTTAAGGGTAATTAAGTAAATTAACATCTGTCTGTAAGATTTAGACTTAACAAAGAATTATTCTTTCTCATGTTTTATTTTGCAAATCATTGTCTAAAAATAATTTCACTCTGTGTGTTTTTAAATGATTAAAAATAAAAAAATACAATATTACGAAATATGAAATGTATCTATACAGAATATACAGCACAGAAACTAAAATAAAGTTATTAAAATTGAAGTAAAAAATAATATTACTTTTATCTGTGCTCTATGCTTGTTGCCTGCGCAATTACTACTTAAAAGCAACTGCTTGGTTGGTTGGCTTGAAACCTGTATATATATTATATACAGATAGCAGACTCTTACTTGGGTTTCCCACTGGAAATTTTCAGTTTGAATTCATGGAATAGCACACAGGGACTGCTAATATCATTTCATGGTTTCAGGAGTCCATATATTTTCATTTCTGATCCCAAATGGTATCGGGGTTGGAAGTACACTTTCTGTGTCATGTGAACCTTGGCAAATTTCTTTTGTCCGTGTATTACACTTCGTAAATGTGTACTAAACTTCATGAATGTGTACATAAACTTCATAAATGTGTACTAAACTTCATAAATGTGTACTGCATTTGAGGTGTTAAACACACGCACCTCTGCTTCTTTAGTAAAAATAAATTCAACCTATATGAAGCATAAAGTCTGACCGCGTCAACGTTGTTACACCGGCTAGTCCTGTCCATAGAGCTAGGTACAGTACAAACTGAGACCGGAAAGGTTGACCTGGCTCGGAAATTCAAATGTACTACGGCTGCCCGTGAACAATGTAAATATCATTAATCAATATAAGAGATTGTTTTAAAAAATAACAACATGGTTAATTTATGCCCCCAATATCAATCAATCAACATTCGGGATCGTATTGGATGGAATTATTTGGGCCCTGCATAGTTTAGGTTTAATACAATAATAAATTTTGTGTTGTTCAAACAAAATTTTAGAACCAAAAGGACCACTCTGCCATGCTAATAACGGAATGCTTCAGATATTAAGTTTTTAAATTAAATAATTGTATTAAGCTCTAAAAACTTTTCCTGCATATTCCATGGTCATTCATTTATATCGAGATTTAGGTACGATAGTTTAAAACTCATTGAAAAAAGACGACATTTTTTTATTCTTTCAATGTTTCCGAAGTTCTGGGTTAAACTGTACTTTCTCAAATGAATGTTCAGAGGTAAAACATTAAATAAAAATTTTCAAAGTTAAGTTTCGATAATTAAGTTTCTTAAATCAAGTTTTCAAAGGGAAATGTTTCCACAGGCCAGTTTTTCTCAAGGCAAGTTTTCAAATGGCCAATTTCAACAATTTCCCCCCCTTTTCACATCTTTATAGAACTAGAAGGTGATGATATATCCGGGTGTGCTGTCCCAATTTTCATAGAACTTTAGAATGGAATACCTTTAATCCCAATTGTTTAATCTGAATATCCAATGTGGACACTCCTTATTTCCCTCTTAATCCACTTTTTTTTCGCTCGGATCAATAAGAATTTAAAATTTCCAGGCTTTTCTGATCGGCTGTTCTGGTTTCTTCAAACGCCAAGCCACACGATTGGTTGAGTCAAGAAATATCTAGTTCCTTGGGTTGAGTTATATCTTTGTAGATACAAACTTAAGATTAAATTAATCTTGAAATTAACAAAAAATACGTATTCACAATTCTTAAGTTTTCAGCTCTGGTTACCTAAAATTCGGTACAAATGAGATAGTTTATCATTTATAGTGATGTGCACATTAATTCCTTAAGAGGTTTTACAGCTAGACTTAGAACTCCTTAGCTTGTCAAATCCCCAGCACAGTGAGCCAAAAGTTGCAAGCTCTCACCCAAATATTAAAGAAAATTATTTTGCAAATTATGACTTTAAAAATAAAGCTATCATCACGAGCTTTAATGTTAATAAATGTACTGGTCTAGGGCTACAAAAGGTATGTGTGAGTTAAAAGGCCAAGGAGGGGTTTAAAAGTAGAATCAGTCTTGAAGATTTCTTCTTTTACTTGGTCGTTCATATTTTATTATCGTTGATGAGAAAATATCGTCTTTTTTCTTTTCAAAAACTTAATAATAATACCCTGATAATAAGATGTCAAAAACTATTGAGAACTTATTTGGTATTTATAAAAAAGTTAACATTTTAGAAAGTGTAATTAATTTAGTAAAATGCCTATTTCTGAGTTTTTAGATTAAGTACTATTTTTACGCAACCTTTACAAACCAGTTATTTGCATTCCTCCTCTCTATAATATACCCTATGGCATATAGTTTAAAACTTTTTTCTATGGTTATTTAGTACAAATGTAAATACTATATATGTCTATAATCGGAGATTAGTATATTTATATCTTCTTAAAATAAGTCTATTTTCTATAGTTTATTGATAGACATTGTGTTTCATGTTTGACATTCATCAAATGTATNTCATCTTTATGCTTAATTTAAGTTTAGTGAAACCTCCTTTATTTACAGATTTATTTTTAAAAGAAAAATGCCCGTATTTTTGAAGCAGAATCTTCAAAAAGAAAATATTCTAAACCAAATTTTCATTAAGATCGATTATTTCTATTTAGTTCTGATATCATTATTAGCGAGAAGTAGATAAACTTTGTATATCTGGTGCACTAGAAGTATAGAAAACTACAGTGGTTGTTTAAATCAATACAATGAAGACGACATTTATACTTAAGTTTTGATTTCTAACAAGATTTTTTCAAATTACAAGTTCACAAACCAAAAAATAGAAGCTGTTAATTGACAGCTTCAATTTGTTTCCATGTTTATGTGTTTCCATGCTGCTTGAAAGCTTTCCAGAAATCCAAAACTGAAATTGAAAGTCGTCTTTATTGTATTGATAAATACAACGACGACTGTATCAGCGCACATAGTTTAACTTTTTTTTCGATTCAAACAAATCAGAACTCAGAATCTTTATAGCTCGGTATACATAAAAACATTAAAAAAAATGAAGGTCGTCGTTAATCTTTGAAATAGATTCGTCAATCTGATTTTAAATATATAGTTCTTGAAACAATAATCACGAAAATTTCCCTGTCCTGGCATTTCAAATTGTGATTACATTTTCTGTGCTGTCAATATTACTAAGAATTTTGTTCATATTTCAATTTATTGAATAAAAACAAAATTGAAAAAATCTGAACAAAATTCTAAGTACTTGTATCTCCGATTATATTTAGGCAAAAATCGTAAAAATCGTAAAAACTAGGTTTTTTTTTGTGATTATTAACTACAGAATTATACATCTCAAATTAGGATTGAGATTAAATGCAGCAAATCATTACAAACATCAAAGACGACAATCAAGTCGTCATTAACGGTCATGTTTTGTAAGACACCCTGCAGTAAAAAGCTATTCAACCAGAAATAAATTTTTAAATTAAAGGGACGGTTTTGCTAGTAACCCTTTACTTGTAAAGTGGTATGTCTGATTTTGCTAGTAACCCTTTACTTGTAAAGTGGTATGTCTGATTTTGCTAGTAACCCTCAATTTCGAATTTTTTAAAGCTGGTAAATAAACTTTATAAAATGAATTAGGTGAATATAAAATATCATTTGATTTATAGTTATAACGAAAATTAATCGTTTGTAAAGTGAAAGGCATAGAGTCTATGTGAAATGATCATTGGTCAATTATGAAACCAGCCTATTTCATAATTTGGTTTACTTTTAACATTAATTTTAGATTTTCAATAAAATGATGTTCCAGGGCCCAAAAGGTTATATAGCGCAAATATGTGAAGTACACCTGCAGTATGGAAACAGTACAACAAAATGGCCATTTTACGCTTTTTTCTAGTAAATTCCACTCTAATATATATTCTATTCTCTTTGCACAGAACGGAGAACAGTTTCTTTATAGATCTATTTCTAGGCAGAGTCAGTTCAGGTTACCTAGAACACTTGAATCCAGGAACTATGTTCCAGGGATTGTGGATCCACTATTCGAGTAAGTAAAGTTGGATTTCAAATTTTATGTTGATGATGATCCAATAAGTTAGAGATGGGCTCGTTCGTTATTTTTTTTTATTGTTAAAAAAATTGTATTGCGTTTGTTCGTTATCGTTCATTTTCCATCTCTTTCATTTTTAGTAAAATCGTCGGTTCAGTAAAAAACTATCGTTATTTCTTAAGATTTAAAATTTAGTTTTTGGTTTGTTTAATATTAAGAGGTGTCACATGTTTCTTCATGCATTTTTCAAGGCTTTTCAAAAATGTAGTTTTTTCCGCCTTGTACTCCACACTCTGCATTAAATTTTTTTTTTACAAAAAATCCTTTAATTACTTTTCCTTAACAGTTAAACAAGAGAGGGGTGGGGATGGTGCCAAACGCCCCCCTCCCCAGTCAGTTTAGGGTTAAATAAAATATGCAATACACCAAAAAAGATGGGAAAAAGACTGAATAAAGAAGGATGATAATTAAATAAAAAAGAAACGTAAGAATTTTAAAAATTTATTATTTGTTTAGGTCCAAGGTTGAAGAGTTACCTGAACCTGTTGGCGCCACCTATCCTTTCTTTAGGATGGGTCGCTCACAAAAAGACATTGAACATTTTAAAAAGTTGTACAGGTAAATATAGATATACAGGTAAATGTGTATAGGTAAATATAAATGTACAGGTAAATGTAAATGTACATGTAAATATAAATGTACAGGTAAATGTAAATGTACAGGTGAATGTAAATGTACAGGTAAATATAAATGTACAGGTAAATGTAAAAGTACAGGTAAATGTAAATGTAAATATAAATGTACAGGTAAATGTAAATGTACAGGTAAATGTAAATGTACTGGTAAATGTAAATGTACAGGTAAATGGCCTGTAAGGGACCAAGACGTAATTTTAAATATGAATTAAATGTCTTTTTTTTTAACTTCAAAAATTGAATGTTTTCAATTGTGGTTTTTCTAAAAAATAGTATGTGGGCGTTTGCTGCGGAAAAATGAAGGAAATTGTCAAAATATTATTACAATTTTCAATTTTAAAAAACCACTGTATCTTCGCCAGCACTGGTCATATAAAGGTTAAAAGGGTACTGTGGTGAAAAGGGCATGCAACAATTTAAATTGCTTGAAATTAAACCGAGGATCATTATACAAAAATTATACAATTTTAAAACTTTTAAATTTATTCAGGTTGGGTAAAAGAGGTTTTGTCTTCCTACCCTCAAAGTTTGAGTAAGTGCAATCAGAATTATAATAAAAAATATACACATATATCCACAAAGGTAGCGTTTTTTCTTCTTTTAGGGTAAAAGATTTTCATAAAAAGTTAAATTCACCGTATTTCTTTAAATGTTGACTAATATAAGGAAAAAATTGGGTTAAAAACCATCTAAATTTAATACATGAAAATATCAAGAATAGAAATTCTAGATTATTCAATTACATTTCTGAAAAAGAAGCATTTTGATTGTGATTGATCGATTTCAGTTGATTTTTGAAATTTTTAATTTTAGAAAACCAAAACGTGCTCTTTCCATGATGGACGACATTGCCAGCTCTTTGACATCAAAAGATATTATTATCCCATATGAATGGTAAGACAAATATTTATCATAATTTCGGAATTCAAAACTAAATATATAGATGTTAATTTTGAACATGTGGTAAATCTAGACAAACCTACTTGAACATGTGGTAAATCTAGACAAACCTACTGGAACATGTGGTAAATCTAGAAAACCCTCTAAAACATGTGGTAAAGGATTATAAAATTATACATTACTCTCACAAACCTTATATTGAAATATCACTTCATGCTAATCAACAATTTAAGGCTGAATATATTTATGTATTTAATAAATAGTATAAAAACTTGGTAAAAATACATTTAATATTTATTTAAGCCAAAAGAAGATACAACAAGAACCCCCTATCTTTGTTTTAAAAAAAGTGTTGCAGTTTCATTGAGGGATGCAAAACTCAACAGAGCTTAATTTTGTTTAGCTCCTCTGAGAAACACTAACAATTTTATTTATCAATTTATTTGAGAGTTTATGATGCATTTTTCCTGGATTAAGCTTGAGTTTTATTTGAAAAAATATTTAAAAAATCTAAAAAAGTCCCTCTTTCTTCTTTTTCTGATGTTTCACAAATGGTACGAAGAACCTCTCCCACCTTCTTGCTTTGAAGATCAGATATCATCTGTAAAATCAGCTGATTACCACGTGATTGACAGCTGAGGTAGGGAATGCCGCAATACGATGCAACTGCCCACAACACCAGGAAGTTTAGAGCATCGTCTTTGCTTTCAACAGATTGAATATCGAAACATAAGGGCAGTGCGCTTGGAGTTGTTGTTGGCTTGGGAGAAGGATAAATTGAGGCTGTTTCCGGTAGATTCACACAACTTTACACAGAATTCTCATGTTTTCTCAGAAATATAGATTTATTTTTGGTAAAAGTTTTACTAACTTTAATTTACTTTACTTTACACACTTTATTAATTTTCTTTATTCGACAATGATAACCCCAGACAACAATGGAAAAGTAAGATCCGACATTAAAGCAATTAATGCTAAAGTGAATTTTATTTTGTTCCAAAGCAAATAGTTCTACTAGACGCTTATTGAATCACTGAGTTATAGTGAATCATGTGTATCATGCAATTTAGACTTTTTAAAGTTATAATTTGATTCTAAAAGTCGTCTTAATTTTCAGAGTTTTCTGGTTATCACTGTTTCTAGGTGCATGGTAAACTGGAGGTCCTAGTTTTAAGTATAGTGATTAGTGAGTTTTAACTTAAAAATCCATTTTCACCCCAAAAATATAGGTTTTTTTATTTGCTATCAAACCCTTTTTTGTTGAGCTTGTCTTTTGAATATTTAAGTATAAAGGATCTCTCAAGAATTTGTTGGCGGATTTTAAATAACAGATCAGAATAGGGCTACAAATATTCCGATACAGCTAGATGTAGTTTGTAGTTGTTGTAGTAAAGTGTACATAGGTGGTGCCGTTCAAAATTTTTCAACCAACGACCCGTGGTTCACTGCGGTTGAGTTGAAATTAAGATTACTTAAATCTTGAAAATAAAGACATTTTGTTCGTTGTTAAATATCCAAAACGAAACTAAAAACCACAGTTTATTTGTTTTTAAAAACAATGATCATCCCTCCCTACTTACAACGGAGCTTTGGAGGAGGTGCACAGACANGGGGGGGTTACTCTGCTAAAATCATTATGCCTTTAGCCAGCCATTAAAAGATAAAGCCCAAGTATATTTAAAATTAAGGAAAAGAAACATGTAATTCTGGTTCCCTAAATGATTTTTGTGGTATTGGCTGAAGGAATTGAAAACGTCTAGTCTGGTAAAGGTGTGAGAGAGGACTGTAAGGTATACTCTGCATGTCTTCTATTAGATGTATCTGTGTATCACTGAAACAAATCAATTCACCGAGTAAAAACAATAGAAAAAGCTGAAAAGTGCGGAAAGACCTGAATCCTATTCTAATTTCAATTCAATTCTTCTGAAATTTAATCTGACATAAAACTATATTGAAGAACCTTTCATCGCCCTTACTGGTGGAAAACTCCAACAGATAATGTCTAGGTCCCCCTTCTTTGTCAATTCTTTTTATAGAGACAGCAGTAGATAGAAATTAAACCAATATTTATATGTAATTTTACTTAAAGGGACTGCAGTAAGCGTAATTTTAAATGACCTTCGATGCAAAGACGACGATGCCCGATTTTCAACGCGTCGGTACCTGGTACCCGGTACCCGGTACCCGGTACCCGGTACCCAGTACCCTTAAAAGCTTTGTCTGATCAAGAATAATTTAGCTAGTTATGCATAATTTTGTTTATTTTCATTTGCAGGTTTTCTGCAAAGGTGACTTACGCATATCTCTTGCTTTTAAGAAACAAAGGAGAGATTATCAGAACTTAACACTTCTGAGGTCATAAAAACGATGTTATCATCCACATTTTTTCATTGTATATCGGGCATTGCTATGGAGTGTCACTTTGTTTGCAACCTGTTATATGTGTAAGAAATATCAATAGATACGTTTTAAAGTGGCAGCAAATATAAGTTTATTTTTGAAAGTTTGAAAACCGATATTAACGTAAAACAGTTGAAACAGCTGCGTTGAGATCACTTTGTACAACGTACAGGCCGTGTTTTAGAAGAATTCAAGTGGGTTCCCACATCTTTAACCCTAAACAGGCTGGGGGGAGGGGCGTTTGGCGCCCCCTGTAGTTTTTTTTTTGTTTTAGCACTCTCATTTTTGACACCATCACCGTGAATTTTTGTGACTTTTAATGAATAGTAATTTAAAGGATTTGTTGTAATCAATTTTTTTTTCTATTTATAGGGTAGGGTACAGGGCAGAAAAAAGTCCTGTCCGTGAAAAAAAAAAATCTAAAATAGCCCATAACTTTTTTGTGACTAAAGCTACAGATCTAAAAACTATATTTTTGGAAAAGTCCTTGAAAAATGAACGTAGAAGCATGTGTCACATTTTGATATTTGTTTAAAACAAAAATATTTTTTTTTTGATCTTTTTACCTTTTTTTAGGCACCCTAGCACCCAAACTATTAAAGTTATCGGTCTAATTTTTTTTCCTGTGAGCTGGCCATGAAAATTTCAACCCTATACATATTCTCTAAGGCCTTTTTCTAGGAGGGGGGGGGTGGCGCCCGCCCCCCCCCAGGCTATGCATAGATTTAGACCCCCCAGCCTTTATAGGATTAAACAGAAAGATCCTTCTACTCGATGATGAACAATCAAAGCTTTTAAAGGTAACGTTGTAAATCGGGAATTGCCCTCTTCCCATTGAGGGTCTCTTAAAAGTACGCGTACAGTCCCTTTAAATCATTATCCTAGCATCTTTCTTTTTTAAAGAAGCCTCACATAAATCAATAAAGGTAGAGAAAAGAAATGAAACCTGAGTGATCTATGAATTGTTCTCCAGGTTTGATAAACTTGGAGAGTTCTAGCCTCTACCCCACCCTCACCCGTCTCTATACAAGTCTCAAGCTTCTCACAAACCTCTTCTACAAATAAAAAACATATTAAAAAAGGGAACTTTAACGCTTTGATTGTTTTTTAAATGATAATTTTTATAGTTCATATTCGCTTTTAAATCCCCCATTTATCAACACTTAAGATAATGCAGTATAATTCGAGTGGGGAAAGGGAAAACTGTAAGTGTAAAATAGTCATGATGAATTCGATAGTAAAATATTTTTGAATATATAATTATAGAACTAAAATGCTTATTTAATATATGTCAACTAATAAGTTTTAACTTTTAATGTTTTAACATTGCTTTCTATGCTAATATTGTGTTAAAACTGGAAATTTGACGGTTTCCATTCCGTAAACCGGAAATATTTCCGGATTACGTCACGTAAACTGTAAACATTCCGGTTTCTATTTGATCCAGAATTATCGCCGAATTCCGGTTTACTCAACAAATTTTTGGATCATTCCATTTCCAAAATGGAAATTTGGTTCCGGAAAAATGGAAACCCTAGTTGTGAATCGGGCATTGCCATCTTTACACTTACGCTTACAGTCCCTTTCAGAATAATACCTAAATGATCATCATTTAGGCGAGGAATCCCTAGATCTTCAGAACTGATGCTACAACTGTCTGAATACACACTAAAAACGACACATTCCATTTTCGTTAAATTCACATTCCATTTAACAGTGCAGGGTGTGCCAATAAACATGGGAATTAAGAGACGACTTTGGTTTTTGAAAGTTGAAAAATGACAAAAATTGTATTGTAAAAGGATTTTACTATAAGCTTTATACTTTTCAAACTGATAATATTAATAATGATAATTGTATGAAAATGACATAACTCATTTTAAAAATTTTAAAACTGAAAGTATACATTGTCCAATTTTTAATTGGAATACTATTAAAATAGATTGAACTTCCATTTTTATTATTTATTGAGACCCAAAAAATTGTGAAATAGAAAAACGACATTTCTTAAGTGTATTTGATGTTGATATAAAGCAAATAGTAGATTAAAAATCAACTTATCAAGACCTGTGTACATTGCACAATTACTATGGTTCATGTTCTTGAACTATTCAAAGTCAAAACAGTCGTTTTCATATTCAATAGTTTGATGGATCTCACTGTTTGATGGTAAAATCAAAGTTGAGAAAGAGGTTCACCATGAAGATGAAGTTGGTGGAGAATCACATCCTGGCGAAGGAGATGTCATCTGAGCTAAATAAAGTTATTTAAAAATGAAAATTAAATTACAAAATAGACATTTCTCAATTCGATTATCAAAATGTTTTTTAAAAAGTGTCCTGCCCCTTCTTAGCAACAATACACTTTGTTTTCTCGACTGATTAATATGAGGGTGACTTGTTGATTCATGCAGCAGAGACAAAAAAGGAAATTGACAAAGAGCTTTTTTTGAAGATAGATGTAGAATCACTTCATCGACATTAAATATAAATTTACTTCTACTGAAACTATAGTAAATAGAATACAGACCTGATGATGTAGAGAAATCAAATGATTTGTCCTTCATCATTTTTCTTTTCAGAACAGGAGGGTTAGCAGGGTCCTGGGTCGGAATTTAATTAATATAGAGAGAGGTCACTGAACTGCTTACCGCCGATTCAAATCCTGAATCACCGATTCCAAATTAAAGATTCACGAGGATTTGAGTCTGTGATTGATGAGGATTTAAACCGGCGGTGGCCAGTTCAGCGACTTCTCCGATTCATTAAATTCGGTCCCTGAGTCAGCAGATGTGATTTCCCCAGTCTAATCTCAGGAGCATTGTCATTCAAACCATTCTCAGGTATGGTGGGAACTGTTCTTCGTTTGTTGGCATTTATGTCAAAGCAACTCATTTCATCATCAGTAGCTGTAAAGAAGTCGTCGCTCTCATCAACTTTATCGACTCTGGAAAATAGAATTGTGTGAATAATTTAAAATTTAAAAAATGAGGAATAATAAGAGGAATTAATAAAATTGAGATATAAGGATTTTAGGAATTTAATAATATGCGCCTCAAAAGTAACAAAAATAAATCAAATTCTTGAATTTCTGCGAAAAAATAATAAAACGTTAAAATTTGGTCTTATATCTGATCAACTTTCGTGATTGGATGGGTCTAAGAGAGCGCCCGCCACCCCTCGCAGTGGACATGTCATGTTTTACCTGAACCCTGATGATCGTTGTCTTCTTTGACTTCGTCTTTGATGCAATATTCTTCGATCTAACAATCCTACAGACTGATCATCTAAACAAATTTAATTTTATTTTACTATGGCTTCCCAAAAACAATTTTTCTTAAAACATGCAAAGCAGAAACTATGTATATTCTATAAGTGGTTATTTTTTATTAATTTGGTAATACAAATAATCACCATCAAAACGTAACAAAAAATCGAGCCTTTTTCAAAAACACATAATTATATAAAAAAATGTCGGAAATCCTTATAATATGTTTGCATCATTGCTTTTAAGAGTCATATACAATTTTGCTATAAGAGCAGCCAATACCGTAACTGGGGGAGGGGGCAATGGGACACGTCCCTCCCTAAATATTAAAATCAAACAGACAAATCAAATATATATATGGAAGTAGTACAGTGATAACCAGATAACAATGGACTAGGAAGACGACATTATAGCAATACTTAAGTTTATTTGATGGTGTTACAAAACAGATGGTTTTGTGAAATTGGTTTTTTTACACTGCACAATATCTGTGTTTCGTCGTCATTGAACTTTTTACAGTTAAAACTTGATTCTAAAATTCGTCTTACTATTCCAGAGTTTTCTGGTTATCACTGTAGATTATATCATAAAAATGAAGATATGGTTTTATTTTATATCACGCTTTTAAACAGCAGCTTTTCTTTAATTACTTGTTAATTCTAAAAAGGCTTGTTAACAATAAAAACTCAGATAAAAAGTCTTCTTCAGTATGTTAAAATTATCGCCTACCACCGTATATTCAAAACTATTTTTTCAGATAATCTTGATCTTACCAGATTCTATATCGGGAGTGTTCCCTCTGGCTAGAGATGCCTTTAACCGTTCCTTGAAGGATTCCCTTTTCTTTAGCTTGGGAACCTTTTCTTTAGGTTTCACCGCTGCTACATTCTTCCTCTTCGTAAACTCAGATTCTTTCTCCGACAAGCTGTAGGATTTTTCAGATTCAGTCTCTCTAGAAAATAACTCATTAATCGCCACAAACTCTAACGTTAAAATTCTTTTAACTTTGCAACCTGTTGTCGTTGGGTTTTGCTAATTTCTCACTTTGAATTCAAATTAGATTTAAATACAGTGATAAATAGAAAACAATGGAATAGGAAGACGACATTATACTTAAGTGTATTTGTTGTTACAAAGTAACTAGTTTTACTAGCCATTTATTTATATCCAACCTTTTATGAACCAAACTATCACTAAGTGAAACAGATTCTTGCGAAGGTAATTCATCTGAACCTAAATAATATTTATTTATTTTGTAAAAATTTTTAATTTGATATTGATTTCGACACATGTTATTGTTTGGTATAAACTATAAATTTTATCTTTATACCAACAATGTTGCATTCAAAATTTTTGTAAATGGAGAAATTATAGATTTTTCTTGCTTTACTAGGATTTGTTTTGTTAAATGGTAATTTTTTAAACAAAATTTGACGAATTCAGAGGTACTTCTAAACTCTGAATATTATTGTTTAAAGGGACCATATAATAAATTTCGAGTTAACCTACAAATAAAAAAAATACAATATGGACGAATCCTAGCGCTACCCTTCACGTTCGCCATATTCAAATTTCTTAAGAAAATTGATAATAATTAATTGCTTCTAATTGGACAAAACCAATTGACATTTGGTTTACAGTCCCTTTAACATGTGTTTAACCTGATGCTGCGGAAGTGACGGCAGATACTGAAGGTTGTCTCAGAACAGAGTTAATTGTACTTCTACTCAAGGGTAGAACTCTAGAATACAAAAATACGTCCGGAGACTGAAACTTATAACTGGCGCAATTCATAGCGAAACCGGTATCAAAACACAAACTTTAGCTTAAAGATGACGGATCAAAAATACTGAAGATATCGCCATGCTTAATTCTAACAATTCCGTCATTGTTTTTGCACTTGCTAAAAGCAAAACTTACATTCGTGCAGAAGATGTTGGGAACTTTAATAGAAAGACATTTTGTAGATAACAAAATAATAGACAGGACATTTCACAAAATGTACATTTCATTGGCAGGACACTTCAGAGAAATGCCAAATATTTTCGATCATTTTTGCAATAGGACAAATTCTGAAATTTTTTTTGTAATAAGACAAATCCTGGATAATTTCTGTAATAGGAAAAATCCTGGATAATTTCTGTAATAGGACAAATCCTGGATAATTTCAGTAAAAGGACAAATCCTGGATAATTTCTGTTATAGGACAAATATTGGATAATATTTGTAAATGGACAAGATCTGGATAGTTTCTGTTATAGGACAAATCCTTGATAATTTCTGTAATAGGACAAATCTTTGATAATTTCTGTAAATGGACAAATTCTTGATAATTTCTGTTACCTAAGGGCTTGATAGTACGAGTTTATAATGGATTTTCTATCTGTTAGATCCTCTGATTGAGTTAGGACGGATAATTCTACAGTTCTCTTCTCTGAGATAGATTGAAGCCTATATCAGAGTTCAGGGACATTACACCACATTTGTTAGAGAACCCCTTTAAAGGGACTGTATGCGTAGTTTCAAATGACCCTCCATACAAAGATGGCAATGCCAGATTCGCAACCGAATCCTTAAAAGCTTTGTCTGATCAAGTACGTCTTAATTAAATATCAAAGTTATTGATTTTGAAAACTGATCATTTTTAATTGTGGTTTCTCTACAGAAGTGACTTGCATATTTATACTGCAGGAAAATTATAAAAATGATCAGAATTAAACACTTTTAATCTAGAGAAACGACAGTATCTTCCACATTATTGATTAGATAAAGGTTGTGAATTGGGCATTGTCATCTTTGCATGGAGGCTCACTGGAAATTACGCTTACAGTTCCTTTTACTGTGGAATAGGAAGACGACCTTCAAGCAATATTTTTTGAATTTGATGTTTTATAAATCAAATACAATACATTTGTCATTAGCAACACGTGAAGTGAAATTTCAGGTCTCTGTAAGCTGCACAAATGCTGCATTTTATGTTCTTTGTAAATTTTGAAATTATATTAGTCGTTTTTCTATTCCAAAGTTTTTTGGGTTCCATTTTAGAACAAAATTATTGTAAGAATATAGTCTTCATAAAAATTACATTGTATAATTTTCAATCTATATTTGAACATTATTTGTTTCCTGAGACTTTTAGTTTTTCATCTAAAAATCAATTTTCTTTAGTTTTTATCTCAAACTCTAGAGAGGAAATTTATTTGTATTTTTAGACATATATAACAAAAGTAAAACCATGGAAACGGTTTTAATACTTCCTGTTTGCAAAAGTTTAAATTTATCCTTTACTTTCTTTAATAATGCCCCGATTCCTGAGACCTGATTGATTGATTGATTTCGACATAATCCACCAAATGAGAGAGTAAGGTACATTCTGAAATAACGAATAGTGAAAAAATAAATCTTTTTAAAAATAAAAACTAAAATTAAATGATATACTTTAAGATGAAAACAAGAAATAAAAAATATATTTTAAAACTGATACTAAAATTAAATTATCTATTACAAAATAAAATCTTGAATTAATGATCTATTTTTAAATAAAAACTAGATATAAATGATCTATTTCAAAATAAAAACGAGCATTAAATGATTTTTTTAAAAGTTGAAAACTAGAATTAAATGATCTTTTTTAAATTGAAAACTAGAATTAATTGATCTTTTTTAAATCGAAAACTAGAATTAAATTTTTTTTTTAATTAAAAACTAGAATAAATTTTTTTTTTATTTGAAAACTAGAATTAAATGATCTTTTTTAAATTGAAAACTAGAATTAATTGATCTTTTTTAAATTGAAAACTAGAAATAAATGATCTTTTTCAAATTAAAAACTAGATTTAATTGATCTTTTTTAATTTGAAAATAAAATTAAATGATCTTTTTTAAATTGAAAACTAGAATTAATTGATCTTTTATAAAATGAAAACAAGAATTAGTTGATCTTTTTTTAAATTGAAAACTAGAATTAATTAATTTTTTTTAAAATGAAAACTAGAATTAAATGGTAAAACAATTGGCGGGCGTCGGTGACTAAGTTGACTAATTGAGTTGTAGACTCATTGTTTAGATGACTGGTTGACTTGTTGACTCATTGTTTAGTTGACTCCTTGACTTGTTGACTAAGCTCCTTAACTCGAACACACAAATTGCAAATATTCACAAAAATGGATATATTTCAACCCTGCAATAAAATGGAGGAAGGTTTGATGGAATAGTTAAAAAATTTGTAAATACTTCTGAAAATATAAACCCGGTTGTTTAAGTGGAATTTACTAAGAATTGCAAAGTCATTTGTGGATTTGTTTTTTCAATATTAAAACATTTCACTGTTTCAATTTTCCTTTGTGGGAGGTAGAGTCGGAGAAATTGTATGGTTTGGATTTGGGGCTGGTAAAGACGACATTACGAAGGGGGGGGGGTTTAGGAGAAAGATTTATGGTCAACAATGATCTATATCAAAATAAAAACTAGTTTTAAATTGAAAACTATAATTAATCGATCTATTTTAAAATAAAAAATAGAAATAAAATTTTATTTTAAAATAAAAACTAGAATTGAATGATTTATTTCAAAAACGTATTAAGTACTCACCTAGACCAAGTTTGAGAATATCACAGCTGAAAAATATTATTCAATTAAAATTTAGTTTTTGTATATAAAAATTATATTTCAAGAATCCTTGGATGGATAGTCTTTACATTTTACCGCAGAGTAAAAAATAAGAAATTAAATCACAACAGCCATTTTGTTGTACCATGTTTGTGTCATATAAATGGATTTCAAACGATAGTTTTTTTCAACCTCTTGGACCCGGAAATTACTTTATTTTAAAGAAAAGAACAGTTTGGTAAAACGCAAATCCATTTCTTTTAAATTTTCTGAATTTTGTTTTGGGCGGCTTGTCTGATTCACAAGGGTACTCTTTAAACCTTTGCCTGAGTAAAATTGAGGAAGCAAGCATAAATCTTTTTTAAATTTCTTCTTTTTTCGTGTGGCAAAGTTCCGCAAATCATTTTTATTGAGCATCCGCAATTGAAAATAATTTATTTTAAGATACAGAAATTACAATATCTCCTGATTCATCGACATAGGGTCAAATGCCATTGGGTCAAACGACATAGAGTCAAAAACGCGACCAAGGTTAACACGATATAGGGTCAAAAAGTGCGACAAACGCGTAAACCATTGTTTTGAGTTAAAGCACATTTTTTAGCATTTGAGAGACCGCAGCGCTCGGCCCCCAAGCCAATCTTAACCACAGCGCTTGGCCCAGAAATTGTATTAACCTGACCTAACCCAAAATTTAGTGAGATCCTACATATTGTATTAAAAGAATAATTGAAAGAAATATTTTTTTTCATTTTGACCGTCTGTCGTTTTATCCTTTGTCGTTTGACCCTTTGTCATTTGACCCTAGGTCGTTTGACCCTAGGTCATTTTACCTTTGGTCGTTTTACCTTTGGTCGTTTGACCCTAGGTCGTTTGACCCTAGGTCTTTTGACCCTAGGTCGTTTGACCCTGGGTTGTTTTACCTTATGTCGTTTAACCCTAGGTCGTTTGACCCTGGGTCGTTTGACCCAAGGTCGTCTGGCCCTAGGTCGTTTGACCCTAGGTCGTTTTACCTTATGCCGTTTGACCCTATGTCGGTGTACTAAATTTAAAAGCAAAGAAAAGTCTTATTTTCTTTCAACCATTCCTGTTTATGTTTATACCTGCTGGAACAAGAACTTATTTTCAGATTTTTTAACTCTACAAGATGAAGACAGTCTGTACAGTCAGAATCTTCAAATCTGTACAAATCAAAACATATTTTATTAATTTTAAAATATTAAGAAAATACTGAAATATTTTAATATCACCCTTGACCTTGACCTTGACCGTGAATTGAAATTTCCGATTTTACAAGAACTTTAATATCAAAGAAAAAACCATCATTTTATGTTGAAGGATTTTTATAATGATGTAATTACTGAAATGGTGAATATGTTATACAATTAATATATAGTTTTTTATATAGTTTTGTTGTTGTTGTGAAACTACTTATTAACACCATTGATATTTACATGTCTTAAAGTGCGAATACATCTTTAAAGTAATAAATGATGAATCATGATTAAATCAAGAAAGATTTTGTATTATTTCACTTAAAAAATGTCTTCAATCCCATTCAGAATATGCAAGGTTTTAGGCTTTATCTTAGCTTGCTAATTTTTCGTCAAAAAGCTGATCCTTTAATAGAACATAAGTTCATTTTCTAACCTGACTGGTATTAGATCTGAGCTCGAGTGGAGAAGAAATTGTAACGAATCCGTAATATTTAGATCACTTTGGACTTTTAGCGAGCACACAGATCGTTCTACGGACAAACTTACTAAACCAGTTTAGTTTAGTTTAGTTTAGTTTAGTTTAGTTTAGTTTAGTTTAGTTTAGTTTAGTTTAGTTTAGTTTAGTTTAGTTTCGTTTAGTTTAGTTTATTTTTAAGTATAATTGTTTCTAAGAATGCTATAGTGAAACCCTTAATAACGAATACATCGAAAGAATTGATCAAATGTCGTATTCTTCACTTTCTGATAATGGAATGTTGCAGATATTTAGTTTTTTAATTAAAATTATTATATGGAACTCTTTAAAACTGTTTTCGCAAATACTGAAATTTACATAATATAGTATATAACTCATGTAAAAATTGTCAAGACGACATTTGATAAATTCTTCTGATGTATTCGTTATTAAGGGTTTCACTGTAGTTAAATCATTTTAAGAATAAAACCTTGACTAGTTTATTTTTCGTCCATATTATAAATTTCAATATTTATCTAAAACAGGAACTTAAAACACTAAGAGGGCTCGTTGATAAAAATGAAAAAATCACATCATAATAATCATAATTCATAATCCACTTAGAGTTAGGAACTTCGATATATAGTGTGGGCACTTTTAAATTTGAGGTTAAATGTTTGATTCCTCACTTAAAAGAATTAAATTAATCTGAAAATGAAGATCAATGATTGATCCCGAGATTCAATACAAAAAGTTCCGAATTCAAAGGTAAAGCTAGTTTTGATGAAAACATTTTTGAAGATAAAGAAAATAAAATGAAATAAAAAACGAAATGAAATAAAAGAAAAACCTGTCTGTTAAAGATGGAAAAGAATGATAGAGCGAGCAGAGATTTTATAAATGGATAAATCAGAGTTATTTCTCCACACTTGGATAAACTTTCAAAACCTAAAGAAAATTCTAATCATATTGATTACAATGAAAACAATCGTATCAATATTTCTTCTAGTAGCTAAAATATTAAAAATATGTGTCAAATATCCTATTGGATCGTGTATATACCTCTAAAATATAAAAGATATGTGTCCAATATCCATTGGATCGTGTATATATCTCTAAAATATTAAAAATATGTGTCAAATATCCTATTGGATCGTGTATATAAATCTAAAATATAAAAGATATGTGTCAAATATCCTATTGGATCGTGTATATATCTCTAAAATATAAAAGATATGTGTCCATTATCATATTGGATCGTGTATATAGCTCTAAAATATAGAAAATATGTGTCAAATATCCCATTGGATCGTGTATATAGCTCTAAAATATAAAATATATGTGTCAAATATCATATTGGATCGTGTATATAGCTCTAAAATATAAAAAATATATGTCAAATATCCTATTGGATCATATGTATATAGCTCTAAAATATAAAAAATATGTGTAAAATATCCTATTGGATCGTGTATATAGCTCTAAAATATAAAAAATATGTGCCAAATATCCTATTGGATCGTATATATAGCTCTAAAATATAAAATATATGTGTCAAATGTGTAAAAAGACAATTGAAAACGATAAAATCAGTGTAAAAATTGTTAAAGCTACGATAAAAATTGATGTTATGCCAAAAACTCTGAGTTTTCAATTCTCTTTATCTTTTCAACCCAATGTCGTAGAGTTTAGAAATTTCAAACGATGAATTCTGTTGGATCAAAATATCCAAATATGAAATATAAAGTTTCAAAGATATAGGGATTAGATAGTTTGAGCTTGCATTAGAAAATACAATATTCTATTAGTATGCTCTTCACGGCAAACTAAAGTATATAAATTATGAAAATACAGGGTTCTGTGATTATATTCTGCACGGCAAACTAAAGTATATAAATTATGAAAATACAGGGTTCTGTGATTATACTCTGCACGGCAAACTAAACTATATAAATTAAGAAAATACAGGGTTCTGTATGGTTTGGTTTGGTTTATATCTAAAGCTAGTTTACCTAGGTGTGGTTTGGTTTGGTTTATATCTAGAGCTAGTTTACCTAGTTATGGTTTGGTTTGGTTTATAACTTGAGCTAGTTTACCTAGGTATGGTTTGGTTTGGTTCATAACTTGAGCTAGTTTACCTAGGTATGGCTTGGTTTGGTTTATATCTAGAGCTAGTTTACCTAGGTATGGTTTGGTTTGGTTTTAACTAGAGCTAATTTACCTAGATATGGTTTGGTTTATATCTAGAGCTAGTTTACCTAGATATGGTTTGGTTTGGTTTATATCTAGAACTAGTTTACCTATGTATCGTTTGGTTCGGTTTATAACTAGAGCTAGTTTACCTAGGTATGGTTTGGTTTGGTTTATATCTAAAGCTAGTTTATCTAGGTATGGTTTGGTTTGGTTTATATCTAGAACTAGTTTATTTAGGTATGGTTTGGTTTGGTTTATAACTAGAGCTAGTTTACCTAGGTATGGTTTGGTTTGGTTTATATCTAGAGCTAGTTTATCTAGGTATGGTTTGGTTTGGTTTATATCTAAAGCTAGTTTACCTAGGTATGGTTTGGTTTGGTTTATATCTA